CATGAGGTAGAGGAGACGGAGGTGTAGGCGCATAAAATACTATAATTGAAAATAACTTAACATTTATTTTATACTACCAATTGATATGTTCATGAATCTCATTTTCAACAAAGTTGTAAGCAATGTCAATAATAAAAATAAGTCTGTACCACACACTATAAATGGAAGATGGAAGAACATGACATTTTAAGAAAAATAGTTAAAGTTCCTTGAAAGAATAGTATTTTATTAGGTTGACCGGAAAAAAATGCATTATTTCATATTTTTTCCCCTATTAACTCTCTTTGTATGAGCTTAAAGCGCTCTCGATCAATCTCCGCTGGCTTTAGTACCTACAAGTAATGCGGTTGAGAGAGTAGCGCAGGGTTCTCCTGGAGTCCTGCTTTTTCCTCCATAATTGGAGGGACAAGCTTGCTACAGAGTTCTCTCGCCTGATTGTATGGTGTATATAGGCATGTTTGTGTTTTTGATTTTTTTTTTTTAATTTCCTTATTTTTAACATTTTTTATTTTATATATTTTTTGTATATATAGTGTGAATGTTATCATACCTCACTATAACTAATGTCCAAGTGACAGAACGTTGTAATATTCAATAGATAAATAGTTAAGAAAAAAAAAATGATTCTCTATACTGTTTATCTTTAATGGATTATTTTTTTGTGTAGTTACTTAACATTTATTATGACTCATTCTAAAATGTTTATCTTCCATATCTGCATTTCTCTAGTTGGAAACAATTCAGTATTCACTAAGGTATCAAAGCGTGATATTTCGCATAATTTTTCTCGATAAAAACATGGAATATAAGGTGAAAAAATAATGAGCTTGGTGTCATGGCAGTGTTAGTAATCGTAACCTCAAACTATGGTTTAAAAAAGTTTCAAGAGATAATGAAGGCTGAACTTCGAGAAAAATATGGCAGAGGTAAGACTTCTTCCCTTGATAAAGATATTCTCCAGACTTCTTGCCTACCGACTACTGTTTTTTAAAGATATTTGGCGCTCTGTTTAAGAGTCACTTTTTTATTGATCATGAAGACAATGAATTTTCAGAATTTCTTAATAATAACAATATGACATTATATTTACAGAAAATGGGAAAGTTTCCAACATGTTGGCAGAAATGTATCGAGAGTAATGGAGTATGTTTTGATTATTAAGTATTGTTCCGTATTATTTATTTTATTTTAAAACCATAATCGTAACCTGAATTGATTTCTAGACAACCCAATAAATACTCCTTCCTACATAGAATCTTATCTTGGTTTATTTTTTCTGATCTATAAATTATGTTAATTGTAAAATATTAAAAGTTGGTTTTTCCTTTCTAAAATAAAAAACATTATATTCTATTTTTAGATCTAAATTTTTGAAACGTGATAGGTTACTTCCAGTCAGTTCTTAAATCGCGAGACTATCCAAAGAAAAGAAATTTTTAACACAATGGTTCAGAAAAGAATTTTGAGTTGAAAGGAACTTATTTATTTCCAGAACGTAGAAACTTACAAAAGCTTTTATTTTATTAAAAAAATACAAATAAATGGAGGTGGACGAGTTCTGTTAAGAAATGAAATAATCATGAGAATACATTAAAAAAAAAGTCTTCCAATTGAATCAGCTTTCTCATCATTTCTATTGACTAAGCAAGAACTAAAATTATTGTTATGATTGTTTATATTGAAATATTTCAGAAAATTCAACTCATTATCGTGGTTAATAATTAGTGTTAATATATTTAAACAAGTATATCATGAGCGATGTTGTATTGACGAATAAACATTTTTCAATGATTGGTCGCTGATTCGTCGAATGTATTAGAGAGAGTGATAACTATCTAATGTAAGAGTTCTCACATCGTTATACGACTTTGATATTATTATTATTACAATGAAGTTAATCAATCACACATAGCAATCAGGATCAAAACAATGATATGAAAAAATAAATAAAATAAAAAGAGAAGTTTCTGAAAATTAATTATAGAGCTGCCGTGGGACATCAAAGGCTTTCGACGCTAAAACACGGAATAAATAAATTAATGGTTGAAACTGCTAATTAGTTTAGGATTGGAAATAGGCGGCCATGATGGGTTTGCCGGGCAATCGAATCAAAAAGATGTGGAACGTCAGGATTTGCTGGCCGGTGGCCGGTCGTGGTAAATGATACTATCGACTTTTCTCATCGATTCGTGAAAATAGATTATTTCAGGTCGAGCGAGCAGGTTTTTCATTCGAGCGGCCGCTCTGTTTTTGTTTGCTCATGGCTTAATTGAATTAATTAGAATCGGATTTCAACCGGTGCTGTCCTTGTTTCTCTGCTCCTGCTGTTTGACTATCGAGGATCTCAACCTGAGGGATCTCTTGTACATTTTTTTAATACTTTTTTTTCATAACATACCATGAGTCAGTTCATGATCATATGTGCTAAATATAAATTGACAACACTTGAAAAAATGAAAAACAGTGAAATAAAATTATCATTTAATTTTAAAAGTAATATTATATCATTTAATATTCTGGAGTCTTCCTTTACAAAATACATCCGAAACTCTTGAGTTTCGTTTTGGGATGGAAAGACCCGACTACTACACCATGTTTAAATAAACGTAGGCGTTAATTTCCAAAAAAATCTACAAAAACAAAAAATAATATCTAAATAAAAAGTAGAAATGATATATATATATATATATATATAAATATAGCCCGCTGACCCTAACCGTAATGCTGCTATCCTTGATTTTTTCATTCATAATGGCTTAAGTCTTCCTAATCATTCCCTTACCTGTATTGATGAATTTTTCTCAGTTCATAGTCCATTAATACACCAATTATCTCTAGCTTCTATTCCTAAACCAACACCACAGATCTAGTTAACTGTAAACTCCACCAATCCTACTGTCCTTACCACCTAAAGCAGTTAATCCTTCTGAGGTCAAATATCATTTTTCTAATATCACTTTTCGTAAATATCCTGGATACGACCTCCTAACCTCACTGGTTCTTCGACAAGTTTCACCGAAAGCTAACAAATATCTTCCATATATTTATAATTGCATGAAAATATTCTACCATTATATTTTTCCTGAAACCAGATAAATCTTCCAACAATACATCAACCTATAGATTAATTAATTAGCCTACTCCCAACTCAAGTTTTATTCAAGTTTTGAAAAGATCCTACTGGAAAGAATTTTAACCATAACAGAATCCCAAAACCTTTCTACTCATTAATTCGAATTTCGTTCTCAACATTTCACTGTCAAAAAAGAACTCCGAGTTGTTGACCATATATCCTCAGACCTAGGAAAAAAGGAATATTGCTCGGGTACATGGACAAGCGTATGACCAGGTGGGGCTCGGCGGATTGCTCTTCGAGCTTAAATTCCACCTTTCACATTTCATCCTTTCAGTCCAAAGTTCGTCGAAAAATGGTCGATGCTCCGTTCTATGTAACTAATTAATTCGTTCGCCAAATTTCAGCCGAACCTTCCGTATCTTGCCAACAATCCCCTTAAACAATCCCTATCTAGCACCAGCCATCCCTATTATCCTCTAAGAATGTTAAAACGGCTGTGGCTCTACGACCTTGTGAAGTCTGTATATATTGGAGTTTTGGCAATTCCAGTTTCTTCACTCAAGACATAAGTTTATGCGGCTAAAGCGCTCTCGATCAATCTCAACTGGCTTTAGTACCAGTGATGCGGTCGAGAGATTAGCGCATGGATCAGTAGGGAGCTTCGTAGTTCTCTCCCTGATTGTAAATAGTGTAGGAATTGTATTGTTATTTTTTTGTTTCTTGTTTCTTCTTTAAGTAATTCTATTTTATTTTTATTTATTTTTTAACACGAATCGGCCAGTAAGGACCACGTGAATATCATTTCTTGTTCTTCTTCACACCTTTCTTCACCTTCCTGTCACTGCAATACTCTTTCATCCACCCGGGCTGTTCTCGCTCTTCTTTAGTTCATTTTATCCCTCGTCTCTCCCCACAAGATCTCCAACCTCTTTTATATCCCCCTCCCCTGAAATCTCTCTATCCAAACAGTTCTTATTCGTGATTTCTATTTTATTTCTTCCATATACTTTTTTATTTTTATTTAGTTTTTAGTCAGCTTCTGTTTATTTTATATTATTTTGTATATATAGAGTGAATTAGGTCTTACCATTCTATAAACATTGCCCAAGAGACAGAATATTAGATTCTTCAATAAATAAATACGGGGATTCTTCGAATATTACTTGTATAGATGTTCCTGGTTGAGGTTGATAAATATAATGCAGATGGAGAACCTGCGGCCTTCAATAATTTTTGTGCTGTTTTCATTAATCTAACGCTAGAATTAACTAATATTTGGTTATTTTGATTACGAAAAGTAACAGAATCAAGTTGAATATATGTATATGGGTTAGTGTATTTACTTATAAAAAAGTAACAAACAAGTTAAACTGATTAAACTTATTTATTAAGAAATTTTACAATCTGTCCTAGTCCCTTACACACGGATAGGAAAATTTTTTAATTTATTTCATAGTCTGTATTATACATCGCATGTTATTACCAATTCATGTTACTATGTAATTATGCGTATTGCCAATTTGTAACCATAATAAGGGAGAAGAATTATGATGTCTCCGTTCCGCTTTGTATGTGTAAACTAAACTATCGGTCACTAAAAACCTTTTTATACTCTACGCACACATATAAAATGAGTAACCTCTATAAGGTGTTTAAATAGATAAGCAACCACATTTGCTTTGGGGGTTATTTCTTTAGTTTTTTTAAAAAGTTTATTATTGTTTATTTTTTTTTCGTATGGTCTTTGAAGAGATGCTTTATAACGGCCAAAGGATGAAGTTCGCCTTAATATATCATTAATTCGGGATATATTCCACCACAGTCGATGAGGTGATTCCGTACATAACAGGTCTAGTTACATTTACTGACGAAGACGACAGGTCTTGTAGGCTTTCCGGTAAAGCTAGTAATTGCTCTGAAGCAATTAGTGCCTCTTTCCCAGGACGGTTTCCAGGAACTGGGCTAGATCTAAGCATAACTTGACACTTAGCCTCATATTAAGCGATGGCTTTAAAGTGTCTTCCTTCCTCAGGAGGACGTCCGCTGTATTTAGAGTGTGAACGCACGTCAACAGTGGGCTGATTTCTTTTAAAGCTGTAGTGTTTCTCTATTCGGGACAAAGAAAAACTTCATCACTAATTATTTAGAAAAATAATTTTAAATTGATAATAATTTTAGATAAAAATAATTTTAAATAATGTTTAAATTTTCATATGTAATGTTGTTCAACATCCAAAAAAGTCGTATTTAATATATTATTTTATTAGAATTTTTTATTTTTGCCAACGTTTCAACCCAAACATGTGGGTCATCTTCAGGGCGTGGTTTGAGCACTGAGGGTGTTCAAGTACTCAATACTTGAGTGAAGTGAGCACTGAAGATGACCCACATGTTTGGATTGAAACGTTGGCAAAAATAAAAAAAATTAAAAAAGACTGCGTTCTGAATATTTATCACCCATGATATGTAGAACAGTCGATTAACTTCCTTCAAGAATTATTTTATTAGTAATAAACAATCTTATTGTTTTTAGTTATTGAAGTGAAAACTTTTTTAGGCGAGTTTTAGAATGACCTGTCAGATTTTCGATGTGTTAACGCACGGATAGGGTCGGCTGGAGTAGACTAATTGAAGTATTTCTGCATATTCTTTAAAATATCCCAAAAAATAAAAATCATACCTGCTTATTTTAATGTTCATAATTTCATTATATTTGTACTGAGCTATCATTCGAAATTGTATCTTAACATGACGCCGTGTTAGAGAGGCGAAAATGGAAAAAATAGTGTCGAAGACAATATTATAACGAGTTTTATTGAAGATATGGATTAAAATATCTCAGAAAATTAAAATCAAGCCTGCATACTGTAAGTGAGGGAAACGTTCAGCATATCATTCTGTTCATAATAAGCTATTATTTATAATTTATATTTCACATCATTAATCTAATTACTTCTATCGTGTGGTCTAATTTTTTTTGTGGGATTTTGATATAATTATCAAATTTTTTTCAACGTACTATTAATTTTTTATTAAAACATATTTCCTCTCAAAGTTTTTACTTCAACAATAAAAAATTATTTTGATGTGAAGTTTTATAACGTTTCGACCGTTATTGCCATTTTGAAATACTTTTAAAAGCAAAAACAAGTAAGAATTCTTAAAAACGTTACTTTTCACACTCAAACCTATCAAAACATTGATATAACTTCCTGGAGATATTTCCTAGCACTATGAGAATTTATTTACAAATAATGTATAAAGAGACCAGAAGGCAAAGATAGGTAAGAACTTACCCCCAGATTTCATCTTGTGGGAAAAGTAACATGAATGTTCTTTATGTTCTGTATTTAGAGATATTTTTTGTATTTATTTTTTCCTAGTCAGTTTGAGTTCTATCTTGATTCAAACTAAAGATTCAGAAAGGGAATCATTTGATTATTTGATAATTTTGTTACCTCATGGTTTCCAAAAGAAATCAAAATTACCCATGCATCCAGAGACCATTCATTTGTAAAACTAACACGAGACAATTTTTCGTGAGTATCAATATTTTCGGTTCTCAAGTATTTGGAAGCCAAATTTTTTTCTCAGACTAGGATAATATAATATGCCTTCACGATGAATGCATTTATTTTTACATATGTTAAGCCTCCCCGAATATTTAAGGAATTATTGATGCACACATAGTTTCAGAATCTAACATCTATCATTGAACTTTTCATATTATTTGATTGCAATATTTATAGTTGAAGTCAAAATCGTTTTTTAAAAGTTTATTTAAAACGGATTAAGGTATTGCTAATTTAAGGTAAAGCACGGGGCGTCAGAGGCGGAACTGAGGAAGGCCTTGTCATTGGACTTCTTGCAGCGATATATTTCTTTCACCCCCCTTCCCCCTCACTCTCCCGCACCTCAACGGAACATTTAAATGAGAAAAACCAACCGTCGGCCATTGTTAATTACAAACTTGATTAAAATCGGGGTGAGACTCCTTCGGCTTTCTTCCTGTTCCCAGGATGATGGGGGAAAATCCTTCTTGGGTTTTTAGTTTCTTAATGCAAATAGGATCCGTTTTTTTTCCTCCCATCCTCCTCCCATCTTTGTTTCTGTTTTCTGTTATATTGTTATTCGACGGGGCTGTTCCTTAGCGGTGATTTGTCGCCTCCATTAGGAGTTTTTTTGCCACCTCCTCCTGCATCATCCTCAGGTAATCATCCCGTCCTCTAATCCGAAAGGTATTTCCTTATACCTATCTGTTAGATTAAACATAGATAGATATATTTCAAAATACCACTCTTTTGGTATTTATTATAAAAAGTATAAAATGTTTCAATATTAAATCCAACAGCTATACCCATTGGACGACAATATTAATTAAAGGTAACAGCTAATTATTATAAATTAGCATTCCTAAATAAAAAAATTACTGATGAATAGAGCTGTTAATTACTTGAATTATTTTCATGAAAACGTATATATTCGGATTAGGAAAATTTAGTTACTCACTTGATATAATAAGGATCAATCCCCATAAAATAGATCTAGGTAAAAACACAGTTTAGATTCACTTTAAATGATAAATATTTGAAACATAATTATTTTTAACTTGTTTTTTTTATTTTTTTTATTATAAATAAAAAGTTTCTTTATGTTCATTATATGTCATGAACATTAACTCCCTTGTCATGAAAAAAAAACAAAGATCTATTTATGTATCTAATGGCGCTATGGTCGTTGTAGGCCTCGGTGATCCTCCTCGGTGAGCCTCCGCTCCTTTTTTTTTTTTCTCCTCCTGTTCTTTTAGTCTACGGTTTTTCCCGGGTCGGGGGAGAGAACGGAGGAATTATGCCAAGTTAAAAGTCACATCGGGAACCGGAATTTGAATAATTTCTTGGTAAGTGTAATAATTTGTTTATCTCTGAACTTCGGTTATCTGGTTGCCGGGCAACTTATGGTGCTGTGCACATGCGTTAGACCGCTCGGCCACCCCGCCCTCTCCTCCACTCTGACCTTTTTTTTTTTTTTTTTATTTTTTTTCCACCCTCCCATGCCACCAGGGCAACACGGGTGTATGCAGTAGTGTGATGTTAAGCATTAATGCATAATAACACACTACTGCCATAATATCAGTTTACAAAATTCTAAGCTGTGCACACAGCTAGCTCTTCTACTTTTTCCTGGCTCCTTTAGGCCTGGCTTCCCGAATCCGGAGGTCTTCCTGGGACTGGTCCTCTTCTCCTGCGTGCACCTAGGTTGAAGTGAGCTGGGCCCACCGCCGTCTTCCAGCCATTTATAAACTCTTTGAACCGCGGGAAGTTTTCTTCACTCACCAACTGAGGAAACTCCTCCTCAGTGAGGACGTAAATCCCCGTGGTTCTCATTAACCTCGCTCTTAATTCGTCGAAAGCAGTGCAGGCCGTGACCACATGCTCAACAGTCTCCGGAACACCACAATCGGGGCAGTGGGGATCTATATCCTGTCCGTAGCCATGGAGTTTAGCTCTGAAACCCCCATGTCCCGTGAGAAATTGTGAAACCCAATAGTCCGGGAGGACCCATTTCGCCTGTAACCGAGATTCAACGGTGGGAAAGTATTTTCTTAAGGTACTGCCTTTCGGAGTCGTCACCCACCGTCTGCTCCAATCTTCAATTGTTTCCTCCCGGATAATCTTTTTCCATTTATTTGGGTTTTCAATAATCCTCATCCGTAGGTTCTCCGATAGACTAGTTGAGCCCTCCTTCTTGTAGTCATACCTGGTCACTTCTTCTCGCAGGAGGAGGTCGAGAGGCACCACCCCCGCTAAGACCTGCACTGCTTCATGCGACGTAGACCTATATGCTCTGGTGACCCGAAGCAGAGCAGTTCTCTGAGTCGATGCTAGCCTATTTCTTTGTCTGAGTGTGAGGTTTCGGAACCAGAAGGGAGACGCATACCTAAGGATACCCTCCACAACACCCTTATAAATAGTGATAGTGGCTGGATACCTAAGGCCCCAAAATGCGCCCCCCACACGACTTAGACCGTTCATTGCTAGGGCCACCCTACCTGCCAGATATTCCAAATGAGGCGTCATATTGAGGCCTACACCTAACCTAACCCCTAGGTAGGTTACCACCTCACTTGGACGTATCCTCTGACCTTCTATGTACATCGTTATAGGGTGTGCCCTATCAGTCTTTCCCTTAAGGAGGATGGCTTGAGTCTTAGCAGCAGCCATCCTCATCTTCTTCCCCTCACACCATCTAGCGACTAGGCTGGCGCATCGCTCTGCTTCTCTCTTGACTCCAGCTCTGCTGTTGGAGGCCACCACAGCAGCTAGGTCGTCAACGTAAGCAGTGGCAGGAAACCGCTCCTCCTCTAACACTCCCAGTAACTCATCAAAGACGAGCTTCCATAGAGCAGGACCAAGCACCGATCCCTGAGGGCAACCTCTCTCTATGGAAGCTTCTACCTCGTAGTAATTGCCTCTAATCTTGACACTTCTATCCTGGAGATAACTTCTTACTAATGTGTATAAGTTACTAGGAGCATCATACCTCTGCAGCTGCTGGAGCACGCTAGGCCACCATACGCTGTCAAAGGCGGAGGATATATCGAAAAGAAGCAACATGACATACCGCTCCGCCCTCTCCTCAACATCTCTGCGCACTCTCAGCAGGGCATCAGCGGTTCCTCTGCCTCTGGTTGATCCATATTGCCGTGGATGACTTGCTCTAGCGAAAACAGGCCGTAAACTAGTCATCATGAGGTTCTCCAGGACCTTGCTAATCACAGGGAGGAGACATATAGGTCTATATGAATTAGGGAGTTGTTTGTCCCTATCTCCTCCCTTGTAGAGTAGTCTCAAATCAGCGATCTTCCATCTTCTTGGAAAGTATCCCATATCCAGACATTCATTGAAAATACTCAACAGCCGGTCTTCAATATACGTGATACTGTTCCTCAAGATCGCTGCATCTATTGCATCAAGTCCTGGAGCACGATTAGTCTTCTGCTTATCCACGGCAATACGAAGATCGTGAATGTCCCATGGTGGGCACAAATCTGAACCAGGTGGATATACCGTGGTGCGTCTCACAAAATCATCATTTTCGCTGTCCTGGGTTGGGTCATCTCTGGGATATATTGCTTCAATGAAAACATTGGCAGTTTCTTCAAGGGTGGTTGCCTCAGTATTATGATACCGCAAGGCTGCAATAGTCTGCATCGGGGACAACTTACCCAATGCTACCCTATACGGAATACCCCAGGGATTCTTCGAAGACTCTTCAATGATGAAATCATCCCAAGACTTCCGCTTTTGTGAGCGAACCTCGTTTCGGTATATCCTGGCTTTTGACTTGTACTCATTGCGAAGTACAGTGCGCCTCTCTTCGCATCTGCACCTCTGATATGACCGCCGGGCCTTGTAGAGGTCTCGTTTTAGAACAGTTAAGGCTGGCGTCCACCATGGGACAGGTCGAACCCTCGCCTTCCGGTGCTTGAGGGAGTGTTCGGCAGCATCACGAATGTTGTTGGTAATCCTGGACACCTTGTAGTCCAGATTGTCAACTACATCCATCTCTGCCGCTTCCCACTCCTCGTCTGCAATCACTCCTTCCAGGTAGGACCTGAAGACACTCCAGTCATTTATTTTAGTGACGAAACCCTTATCAGTACCGTGGGAACATCCTGGCTCATTTACCAGGCCAATTGCTATCGCAACGTGATCGGAACTCGTATCAGATCTGAGAGTCCAATCAGCAATATACCTCGTAAGCGCAGGCGTGGCGATCGTGACGTCAATCCAACTCTGCCCCATGCCTCCAGAGAAGGTAGGGGTGGCAGAGGGTTCGTTCATCACGACAAGGTGATTTCTGCCTATGAAATTTCCCATTTTAGCGCCTCGCCTGTCAGTAATATTGGACCCCCAGACCGTGTTCCAGGAGTTGGTATCTGAGCACATGATCACATTCCTCATCTCTCTAATGATCGCCTCCATAGCGGATATGCTTTCTTCTACATCACTATTCACAGGTAGGTATGCCGATACCAATGTGAAAGAAATCTTGCCCCACTTAACGTAGCAAGATGCATAATCCGCCATGGTGTGTTGCCTCAGATCCATCACGTCAAGGTTAGGATTATTAATCACTATTGCAGCCCTGGGCCTCCTCTCTCCACTGCTCAGGGCTATAACTCTTGACGTGAGGCCAAACCCCGTAACCCTGTTCCCACGGCAGCTAGGTTCCTGGACCGCCATGATATCGTAGCGTTGTGCCATGGCGCGAAGCTCGTCAGCCACAATATGCCGGCGGCCCATATTCAACTGCAGGATGTTGAGTCTAATCATAGTGAGTTCTCCTCACTAATTCTTGAGATCTCTTGATGTGCACTGGGCATTCTCTACTTCCTGCCTGGTGTTTAGCCTTACTTTTTTGAACACCTTCCCTCACGCAGTTAACGCATGTAGGTGCGGTCTTATTTCCTTTTGCGGGACAGTTTTTAGCAATATGCCCACTCGCCGCACACCACTTGCATACTATGCCATTTGCCTCACAAGTAGCTTTTGTATGTCCATATCCCTGACACCTTAGACAGGGAGGAGCATCGGGGTAATCTAAGATTGTCAGTGACCACCAACCTCCTGTAATTATTTCCTCCTTGAGTAGATTATATCTTACCATTGGATGTACTTCTAACACCCAATTATTGGTAATTTTATTTCTAGCCATTGATGAGAACAATGGCTTTATATTACCTAATTGGTTCTCAGAAATAACGGCCGATTTTGCAGCCAACCTTTCCCATAGCACCCTTTCTAGATTTTCCGCACTCCATGAAAGGGGAACTCCTTTTACCTCCACTTTTGGTTTTCTTTTTAAGGCTAATTTTGCCTCCATCCCAACTTCTTTTAATTTTTGCCATTCAATTATTTTTTTAGCATGGGCACCCTCATCTACACAAACTAAAACTGAGCCAGCTTTGGTCGCCCGTACAACTCTCGCCTTGACTCCTAGTTCAGTTGGAGAAGGCAGATTGTTGATGATGTCAGCTGCACTTTTACCTTGAGAAGCGATGGTAACATAAGTTGGTCTTGTAGTATCCATCGGTTTTAATGGAAGCCTTTTAACAATATCGGCCATCGTAGTCTGATGTGTAGACCTTTTCTTGGTCAAACTTTCCTCTGATATTGGTTTAGAGGCCTCGATCTCTTTGGCCACTTGTGGAAGAGCCTTTTTCCTTCTTTGCTTTTTCTTTACTTCCTGGAAACTTTCATTCTCCGTGGTCTCAATAATAGCGTGGGCATCGGCTAATAGCGGTTGTTCTTTAACGCATGGAAACTCCCGAGATGTCTGAGGTTCTGACAGTGGTCTTTGTATGGTTTTACTTTCCGACTTGAGTCCCTCGATAACCATAGGTACTGCTTTTTCCACTAATGCATTTACTATGATATCATACATTTCAGAGGAAGCTAATGTGTCCTTTACCACACGTTGTACTAAAAACGTTTTTTCATAGTTCTTATCATATATTGTCTCCATTATATCTATTAACTGCTGCATTTTCCCATTAACGTGCTTTTGTACCTTCGCACTCACGTTCCTGTCTGTTGCGTTCATGTAGACCCTGATGTTTTCTTTGATTCTACGTGCATCTTGCAGAAGACTATCGTCTACACGTCCTTTATCTGTTTCTTCTCGGGCGTCAGGAGATCCTTTCCTTTGCCTCTTTGCTGAAGGCCTTGGGCACTTTATAGCCTGTTCTTCCACCATTTCCTGCTCCATTGCTGATGCAATTTCATCAGCCATCTTACGCAATCCAAAATTAACAACTTTATACGTTGAAATAATGGGTGAACAACAGTAGAAGGAAATATTCAACACTCAAAATCTAACCTACGTTCGGGAACTTATAAATTTCCTATCTTCAAAAGTAAGACTTTAATATGAACTTACCTTAGTGCTTCACCAACGTAATAGTCTCTAAACGTCCTTTTGGTTAGATTAAACCTTCGTGAAAACCACAAAGTTAACCTTAACCTCCACTGTTCACTCAAAAAGTTTATAAAATTAACTAAATAAACATAAACTAAAACTAAATCATGTTCAAAAAACTATAAAACACTAAAATAACACAAACAGTAGGAAACGATACAACAAAACTAACAAAACAAACTTGAAAAACACAAAACACTGAGAAGCACAATAACACTTTATCATAGGTAGATAACCTTCCTCACAGGGAATGCTAATTGTCTAGCGTGCGTGTGTGTGTGAGGTGAGCTAGATAGGAGGCCTATCTGGCCTCCTCCACTCTGACCTATCTTCGGCTGCCCTTCTCCATCTACCGACAACCAATGTCGTAGGTCCTCCTCTAAATCTAGCAGCCAACGAAGTCTAGGCCTCCCTCTGCACCTTCTTCTACCAGGGTGTTCCTCCATCACCATTTTTGGTAGTCTACTACTTTTCATTCTTTGAACGTGCTCCAGCCATCTTGATATGATAAGCTCAGCAGTCACCGGTACTCCGCAAGTGGGGCCTAGGGGATCTATGTACTTGTAAGGAATTGAGAGACCCAGTAATTCGGGAGAACCCACTTCGCATCCAAGCGACTGGGTCGGGTAATATTTTCTAAAAGTTGCCCCTTTCGAGGTAGTTATCCACCGCCGATTCCATTCATCTGTGGTATTCCCCCGAATAATCCTTTTCCATTTTCTTGGGTTTTCTGCAATCCTCACCCGGATATTCTCCGGAAGAACTGCTGAGGCTTCTCTTTTGAAATTAAATATCAACGAGTCTTCTCGAAGGAGAAGGTCGAGAGGTACCCCTCCTGCAAAGATCTGCACCGCCTCGTGAGACGCACTTCGGTATGACTTGGTGATACGCAACCGCGCCGTACGTTGAATTGCCGCCAATCTGCGTTTCTGACTGTGTGAGAGGTTCTGAAACCACGCAGGAGAGACGTACCTCAGAATACCCAGTATCATTTCATTGTAAATGGTCCTCGTAGCAGGATATCTGGGCCGAATGGGCTAATGCGTGTGCATAGCACCACCGTTGCCCGGCAACCTGATATATGATAAATGATATAAAAATAGTCCCGAGATCGCGTCCCGGTGCCAAGGCGTCTTTTAAATCCCTGCCCACACCCTCTGGCCCGGGAAAACTTCTTATAGCCTTAACGGCGAGGAAGAGGAGGACCCAAACAAAAAACAAAATACGCAGAAACTTATCGATTGGGTAGCACTTATGAAAACATTAAACGGCTATTATTCGATGTTATTAACTTATTCAACTTTATACCTTTTATCAACTTTTAAGCTTTTTTATTTGAATTATTCAAATAGCCATATTATTTAATGAGTATTGTTTTTTTTTTCAATTGGTTTTTGAGAATATTAAGTTTTGTGATCTTGTAGCAAAAAAAAAGTGTTTTAAGTTAGTTTTAGTTAGTGGAACTATTTGTTTTAAAAGTGTAAATATACTTTTCAAACATAAACTTTTATAAGACTGGCTGACAGCTATAAATAAATAGTTATAGCTCATTAGCGGGAGGCATTTGTCCTGCCATCATAGCCACCTGACAGCCCTCATACACTGAAAAAAAGGAACTGGTTACATCTTGAAAGGGCCCTCATGGATATGACACCTTGCAGTCACCTGTCTCTGTACCTTGGCCGTTTCCTCTTCTTTATGGTGGGAACTTGCGGCTGCCGACAGTTTTATTCTACTCAAAGTTAATTGTCGCTTATAGATCAATCGGCTGAGGTGTTTGTAATGGTGGGGAAAATATAATTAATCTATATGAATTAATGAAATAGTTTGGATGGGTGAAAAAAAAAATCTTCCCAGGCTTTAAATACTGATAAGTTTAGGATCAATTTACTTAATATTCTTCAATTAACTTTACAGTTGGGGAGAAAGTAATAATCCTAAGGCTATAAAATAACTATTCCAATATATTAGTAATTTATTATTAATCTCAAATAATTTTATTTTCTCAGCTTCATCAGTTGCAAGAGCTACACAAACAGTGTAGTGCTCATTTTAAGGCGGTCATCCATTTCTTTTATTTTCGAATACAAATCTATTTAGAGCCTTGAGCCTAATCTTCCACAACACTTTCTTATCTCCTTACTCAAAATTTATGAACAATATATGAATAATTTAAAGTTGTTCAGGGAATATAGCAGGTTCCTATTTTGTTTTATTTAAATTGAAGCAAACAACACTGTTTTCATCTCTTTACAGGCAAGAGCTTCACATTCCTTCTCCCTGCTGCGTTCATGTCAACTTGAGACGGGAGACACATCTGGCCAGGAGGAAAATTAAGGTCGGTCTCTATTTCATAAGAAGAAAATGGAATAGGAAACTCCAGTGGCCCATCGAGGGTACCTGAAGATTTGGAAGGAAGAAAAAGGTCATGCAGAAAGTAGCAAGAAGTAGTATCAGTTAATTTTTAGTCAACAACACACCTAATCCACCTCAGTTACAATAGTATGTTATATTCACATACACATTTATTAACATATTAACCCATATTATAATAGATTCGACCTCAATAACTCTTTAATATATCTCAAAATATAGCAATTAGTTTAACCCCATATTTTACTTACAGTCAACACATCCTTTATTCGTACAGCAGCAATAAATTAAGAACGAGTCACAATCGCAGAATTATACAATGGCATAATAAATCAAACAGAAGTTTCTACTTGAAACATTGTAATGATGGAGTTTGAAACATTATATTGTATGGTAGTCGAGCGAGTTAATTTGCCTGCAGGAATTTGATATCGATTGTTCAAATCCCGTACGCGGATATAATAACAAAAAAAAAAAAGATGTAAACTAAAATAGTTAATTATAAATTAAAAGTAATAAGTGCAGGCCATATTGGATTGCTACGGCACGGATTCGATTTCCGCATGGGGACGGTAACGTCTCCAACCAGATTCACAGAGAGGTAAGCTACCTCTGTGTATTACACTATAGCTACTGGTCCTCCAGGTTGAGGATTGGATATAGCTGTTAATTTCCTATCTCATAAAAAGAGATTGCTGCAAAAGGTTGCCAACTATCCTTCAGGAAATTGTCTGATGAAGAGTGAGTGAATTTGTGATCGCGTCGGGTTAGTAAACCCACATGCTCCCTAAATATCTTGAAGAAGAGAACCAAACGATCATTTATTGCGAAAAGTTGAAGTCAAGAGGCGTAAGACAAATATAAAAATAGACAAAAATCATTGTATAGATTTGATAGATTTCACTACATCTTATTACTTTCTATTTACTTTCTATTTACTTTTTATTAATTTTTTTATATAATTTAATATTCCATTTCTTTGTGTTTCATTATTAATCTTTGACTATTTTATTTTTCTAAACATATTACATTAAGTTATAGCAACTAACACATCACTACATTATATTTATTTTATTTTTACAAATTATTCCGATGAAATAAGATCTTTGGGTTTTTACCTCATTTGACAAAAACGAATGGAATTAAACAGATGACTTAATTATAAATTAAAATTAATAAGTGAAGGCCATACTCGATTACTTAGAATACTACGGCACGGGTTCGATTCCCGCATGGGGACGGTAACGTCTCCAACCAGATTCACAGAGAGGTCAGCGACCCCTGTTTCTTACACTACAGCTCTGAACGTTTATCAAGTACCCTAGATAAAAGGGTACTTGATAAACGTTCAAAATTATCTTTGAATAATGAACTATACCCCTACTAAGTTTCACTTAAACCAATTTGAACTTACGGCATAGAACTGTGGGGTTCTGCTAAAACTTCAAATACTAAAAAAATCCAGTCTTTACACAACAAAATTTTGCGAATGATAGTTGATCCCAATAATTTTAGACACTGCAGAAGAAAACTACAATAACTTTCACCAAAGACTAACTTACAACATAAATCCTCTGACAGAAAACCTCAAACACACAAGAAACCCGTACAGCCCACCTCGACGATTACGTAGCGGTGTTCAAGAGACCTGCGGAACTGATATATTTTCTGGATATGCAATGGGGCGCTGTGAAGCTGCCAAACAATTTTCTTATTGAAAAGCCATTTACAGAACGCAAGTTTAATTTGATGATCAATTTTATGTTTATGTAATAATCATAATAATAATAAACAACTTATTCCTACAATTTATTGCTATATTTTAATATTTCATTTCATTTCTTTTTAATTTCATTTAGTTGTTACTATTATTTTATCATTGTTTACTTCATCAGTTTATAACCTGTATTATATAACTCCGTGGTTTGTTCCGTTAAGTCATAAGCTCACAACTTTTTTACCGTTATTTATAACTTCCTCCTTCGTCGTAAACCAACGACTGCCTGTCCTACAGTTTCCTTTAACAATACTCCACTTATCCCTGTTGAGCAAATTAGATATCTAGGACTCCACCTGGACAAGCGACTAACTTGGAATCCTCATACTAGACTGAAACGACAAGAAACCGCTCGACGTTTCCGATTACTTCAGCACTTACTAAACAACCGCACTAAACTTCCCATTAATTACAAAAGACTCATATACTTGACTATAGTAAGACCTATTTGGACTTATGGAGTTGAGCTATGGGGCTCCACTAAACCATCGAATTCCTCTCGCATCCAATCCTTACAATCCAAAACCTTCGTAAAATCCTCAATGCTCCTTACTTTGTCACTAATAAAATTATCCATAAAAATCTTAATGTTCCTTATGTTTCAGATCTGGCCCAATCCAGATACCTATCCTTCCATAATAAACTCATCCCAACCCTCTCGTTT